GTTCTGGTTTCTCACATAAGGCCGGTAAAGTACTTACCAGAGCTTCTTTGGCCAGATAGTTCCCTTTCAATTTCCACCACTAATTCGTGCTTTGTTGTTAGTCATGGGTTTTCTTCGTCGTTCAACCGGAATTTTCAGGTCTAGAATTAGTGGCTTATGCTGAGGTATGCAGATTTCATCTGGGATAACTTTGCAACCCTTCATGTTCTTCAGGTTATTGTAACGCACTGCCCAGTAGTCAATTTGTTTAGACGGTCTCCACTTGAATACTTTATCAAATGTTCATGCTTTTTTGATGTAGTACGTGTTGACTAATGCTAGATTGTACGCTGTGGCAAACTTTAGAACGCGTTCGCCTTCTTCATTGCATCCGTGGTTCCCGTGACACTTTCACGCACCATTTCTGTTCTCCCCCACATGACCGTTTAGATCTGCTCCGAGCAGGAGTATCTCATCCTGTGGAGGATGTGATGTAATCGTCAAGCTCCCGCCAGAACATATTCTTTTCTTCCTCCTTGCATCCGGTTTGCGGAGCGTAAGCGGTGACAAATCGAAGGACTTTTCTACCAGTGTCAATCTTTCCTCATAAATCGATCACTTATCGGTCAATCTTAATCGGTCAACTGCAGTAATCCTGCTTCTTTAGCTTTCTGAGACAGTTATACCTACTCCGTTGCAACTGCTGCTTGTGCCGTTGTAGAGAAGCTTATAGCCACCTCCGATATCGAGTGACCACCTTCCATTTTGTTTCCTGTATGCGGGCTTCATCCACTCACCGTCTTCTCAGGAGAATCTCCAACTCTCGATGTCGTCCAGTGAGGGTTCCGACTTGATGGTAGCTAATCGGAGTGCTTCTGAGTTTTCGGATAGCTGCCTTCGAAGAGCTAGCTTTCTTACCCGTCTCCGCTCTTTGTAAGACGGTGACCCTAGCCCACTGTTCGCACCCGTAAGCCTGACGCTGGAATCGCAGGCAAGAATTATGTTCCAGTGAGGAATCGAACTAGGACCTCACCGAAATGAGATCCTGGAAACTAGAGCACTAGCCACTCGGCTAACTCTGCCTTAGAACATCGCAGATTTAATGAAATATAAATGGAAAAAACAAAGGTTGGGAAATGGTAATGTATTTCAGGCTTTCTCAAACAGTCAAAAAGAGGTAATTTTCCCCGTCAACTTCGTCACTCCGCACTATATGTTTTTTTTTTTCAGAATATCATCGAAAAAGTGGTAAGTGAGAAGGAACGTGATATCTTAAGAGGTTAAGAAAATTTATAACTTTAAAACTGATTTTGTGCTTCTTTCCGTTACGGTGAGACTAGCAATTTTGTAATGCCGACACCGCGTCCATACACACTGCTCTGAGCTCAATCATAATAACAATCAGCAGAGCTTTCTCACAAAATTATGAACCATTGTATGAATTAATTACACCGTAAATGAAAAAGAAAGCATATAGCTCGTAAGGAGGGAATCTAAGTTCAAGCGACCCTTCAAGTAAACAGAAATTCAAAGATTGAAGAATTATGAACAATCAAAGTGAGTACATTTTTCTGAGGCAGTATTATAAGAAATTTAATTTTAGTGTGTGAGGCGTGGTGCAGTATTTGCCTCATCACAGATACTCATTAAACTAACCTGTGGACTGCCTTCCTTTACCTGACTTGCCAAAAACTCGAAGAGGTCGACAACCTTTTCAATTTCCTCCATCTCTTCCTTTGAAACAGCGTTTTTAAGATAGAAACGGCAAAATTCTGATAGCCCTACCGTGTTTTCCTCTTTTTCATCGGCTAACACCGTTTTGATTCTTTCCATCTTTTGTCCCTTCGTCAGTGAGGTATCGCAGATGATTTTCATAGTCTAAATATTCATTTTGCAGGAAAGGAGTTGCACCATTTTTTGAGCTTCATATCAATCGTTGGAGTAAGAAAACAGTATACCCACAGCTGCCACTGCTTGTGATTCTTCTTCGCTCAGG